CAACCAGGAAGTAAATCACGTAAATGTACGTCCGACCATAATTTTACAATGGGCGGACGGCAAGGGGTTAATTATGTCCTCCACTGACAGCAATGAAGTACTTACAGAGTCCTCCACAAGCTGCAAGATCCCCAAAGTACATACTATAAAGGTGGCCATACACCTTATAACCATTGTACAACTTCTTTGTCCAGACATCTCACCCTCGTTCAAATTTCGTTCAACTAGCCCATCATGCACAGACCAATGTAGTTCGCAATTAACGTTTGAGAGCAACAACAAACTGGCTTATTTTGATCAATTGAACATACAGGTTTTCGTTTGAGCATGTGCATTTTTCATCTTGAGATTTTTGTTGTACAACAATGCCACTAACCCGTCAATATTCCTCCAACCAGACAAACATTTTCTAGCCTGCTTGAAAGACAAATATCTGCCAGTTGTACAGTAATTGAGGTTGTGCACTTCCCATCAACTGGCAGATTTTCGTCCGAAAACGCGATCGCAGACAAAAATCTCGATACAGTAATTTTAAGGTGTATGGGCTCCTTTTAATACAAAACACAAACATTCCCCAGCCTTTTTTCTAGTATGGGCTCCTTTTTGGCTCGGCTGCTGTAGGCTATTGTGAATAGCCCTTACAGCAGCCCTTCGGTTCAACTGAACCGAAGTGGAGAGGCAACCGAAGTGAGCTGAAGGATCAGCCGAAGCTACAGCTGGATCCTTCGGCTCTTTAGAGAATAACCCCCCTAGTTTCCAATGTGTTTTGTGCCAGCAGCTAATTACTTCTTTTAAATCCTACACAGTTAGCTCTTCCATGTCTGTTAACACTTGCTGTGTTCTAGATAAACTTATCACCATTGTCATCATATTTAAAAGTTTGTACAATACAACAAATAAACCATGCATCTTCCCGTATCATTAAAAATATATTACAGAAATATTACACGTGCTTAAAAACAAAACCCATCTTACTGTTGCAGCATAGCATCATATCATAATTATAAAAAACAATAATAAAATCCAAATTTAGTCTTTTGGGATGGAGCATTCCTAGTCCATAAATCCTCTCCCTTTCTTTATGGTTAAGGAATCTGATCGGGTCACTCTCTCTCCATTTACTACTCCCTTGTTGGATTTCTAAACATTTTTACTTCCTGGGGCCTTGATTGACTAATGACTTTTAAAATGCTTGGGCACACTATGGTCCTTTTTTACCTTTCTTAATATTATGAACTCACACTTCTATTCTGTTAGCCAGAGTGCACTTTGCGTGACTAACATATTGAAGTCCGCACTTGCACAACATTTTAGTGTTGCATGTAAGGAAACATGGAATGTTTTATTCCCTACCTATTGTTGAATATTTCTACTCCTTTATCTGCATGCAAAGCATCTATAGGACATTCCAAAACCCCTATCACCCGTAAAAATTGCCCTGAGGTTTTGAACCCAAATTTTGTAAATGGGTCTTTGCTTTGTAACAGTGCCTAACCGCCCATGTTAAATGTGCTGGATACAAATCTGCTTCATTCTCCATACTTTGGGGCACCAGACAAGGTTACCTATTCTTACAACTTCATTTCTCTGGCCATTGAGCCCCGGCTCAATTGTTTAGAGAACATCTGGATATTACAGTCCTCACTCTAGCAGGTTATAGACATAAAACAAGCCTTTTCTTGGATGATATAATTCCCAATCCCAATCCCATAGTGTCTATTCCTAACTTCCTTTCCCTACTGCAGAGTTTCAGTAAGCTTTATGGCCTTGTGGCGAAGCCAGGAAAATCTAAGGCACCTACTGTTTTCTTGCCAGACACCAAAGCCAGACACTTAACCCCATAGTTCTCCTTTAAATACTATGTAACAGTGTAACTATGGAATGGGAACTGCCAATATCCAATATCCTCTAGTAATGTTAGAAAGGTAAGGGGGTTATGAATCTCATACTCAGCCTTTAAATTAGTTTGTCAACCCTTGGCATGGGGTAGGCATCAAACTTTGATACCTCGTTTAGGTTTTTTTACAATTGCAGAACCTTAACAAACTATCAGGCTTGAGAACCTGGACTTTTGGGCTACACCATGTGTTTTAACCCCTTCAATTAGCCTAAGATCCAGTAATCTCTGTACTTGGCTAATGCCTAACAGATGGGCTCCGGAATAATACGGGGCTTAAGCCAAACTCAAATCCTGGTAATGTTGTATTTAATTATAATTGTGCAGTCTGCTAAATGTGAAAAGATATCCTTGTTTTACTGCAGAAACTCTTTCACCTATTGCTGCTGGGCTAAGGACAGGGACTCGACTATCTAAACCTCCCATATGCCTACCATTTTCTTTGGGGGGCCTATCTCCCATGGCTAATCTTTGCATTTGCATCTCTAGCTTTGATTTACATAATTGGCTCATTAGCTTTGATTTGTTGGTACCCCTAAAAAAAAAAAGATTCTTAATAGTTGGATTATAATGATATTTCAAAGTTTTTTCTATAATTAGTATCACACATGTTTGGTATCATCGAGTGAGACCCATAGGTCAGTGGTAGCATGATATTTATGCTATAAAATTTGATCAATGAAGCCAATTGGGCGGCAAGGTAATAGTTATAAACATGTGGAACTCCCAGACCCCCTTGGAGCTAACTGTGGTAAAGTGTCTGTATAGAAATACGAGGGCGGCCATGAATCCCAATAAAATTAAGAATCTGGTGTTGTAAGATGTGGAACCGATGGACTGGATGATTTGGATTTGGATGGGTAGCATGCAAAACAAATATATTAGTTTGATAGATATAGCATTCTGATGGCAGCATTCCATCTTAACCAAGACAAAAAAGTCATTACAGGCACAAAGAAGAGTAGAGAGTTGGGAGAATAAGGATGAATAATTAGCTTTGTACAATGTGCTCTAGGAGTTAGTAAGATGTACTCCCAAGTATTGCAGACACGGTTCCCATGAAAATGGAAAACATCTTTGCAAGACTGATGCTTGATGGGCTGGGAGAGTCATGTTAAGAGCTTTGAATTTAGCAGGATTAACCCACAGGTCTGAGATGCAACCAAAGTGATGAATTAGTGTAAGCAGATTCAGTAAAGACACCACGGGGTTAGGTAGGACGAGCACGATGTCATCTGCAAATAGGCCCAGTTTCTGGTGATAACCCGTTAGAAGACAGTCATTAATATCAGGGTGTTTTTGGGTAAGTTGGGGCAGGGGCTCAACAGCCAGAGCAAAAAAAAAGACTACAAGAAAGTGACAACGGGCATCCTGTCTTTTTGATCGCCACTGTGGAAGCAGAATAGAGCACCATAATCCATGTACAAAACATTGGCCTAAAGCCCCAGCATTTGAGGACATAAAAAAAGGTAACCCCATAACAGAGGTAGATGCTTTTTTTATGTCATGGGAAAGGAGCATTAGGGGAGCCTTACGAGATCTAGCAGATAGACGTACCCTGACGTACATTGTCCTCTTCCTGCCAACTGGGCATAAAACCAACCTGGTCTATATGAATCAGAGAACCTATACCCGTATTAAGTCTAAAGGCTAATATCTTTGTTAATAATTTAATGTCCATGTTGAGGGAAATCGGTATGAAGTCAGCACAGTTGGTAACATCCATATTAGGCTCAGGTACCATACAGATTATAGCAGACAACGACTCTGGACGTGGTCAAAAATCCTTTCAAACAGGATTAAATGCCTCAAGCAGGAAAGGGGCTAAGGTCTCAGAACATTTTTTATAACACTCAGCAGAGAAGCCTTCACGGTCCAGTCTCTTATGCAACCTGTGCATTTAATGGCATAGAGCACCTCAGACAGGTTGATAGGTGTCTCCAAAGCTTCCCAAAAGGACGGTGAAAGCTCAGGAAGGGTAGGGCCCTAGATGATCAGCTCCAGTGGAGGGGTTTGGATCTTGCGCAACTGAAAAGTGATGTTCAAACTCACAAACAGTCTTCAATGGATCGATTGTCAGTGTCCCATCAACTGTTCATAAACGCAAAGGCAAAGCCAGCAAGAAGTCTTGTTGGAAAATCTTATATTTTTTTAATGAACATATACATGGATTTTGCTTTTTTTTTTATATCCTGGAGTTCTTACCAGGTTTACCAGTTTATAGCCTGAATTAGAAAACTAATGCAAGCACTGCATTTAAGTACATTTTCTACAAGTACAGAAAACACCTGTGGATCCTGATACAAATAGAGTATCCTTATAACTTCCTGTCTATGGAACTGATATCTCAAAAAATGTTACCAGCTTTTCCACCTATCTTTTGTAAACTATAAAACCCTTCCTTCCTATATAATGGAGAGGCAGAGGTGTTTATATTCCAAATCAGAACAAGCAGCCTAGGGTGGAAATGCCTTTACACCAGCGTTACTGGCAGAATCACCGGGTAATAATAAAAGGTTAAAAAAAACCTAAAAAAATAAAAATTATGTAACTACCACATCTAAAGACTGATAAGCTGCAATATATTACTTTTTTAATTTTGAGTTAAGATACGCTGTAAAAGTAATATAACATTTTGTAGTTTTTTTTCTCGCTTTGCAACTTCTTGTCCAAAATCTTTCACTGAAGGATTGAACATTTTCCCTCCACAGGACAACTGTGGTACTACTGCAAATAAATGTGTCAGGACAAATTGCAACACACATATGGGAGTGTGAACTCGTGTTCCTACCTCCTGTTAATTGAAATGTCACGACATACATACATTCCAAAGTTGTGCGTAAATCACTTAACATGCTACTTGAACATGGAACATTTGCCACTTGGCCATTCGCCCACTATCACAAGCAACATTGTTTTTCTTGTCTAAAAGTAGTCAATCCATTGTCATCCACTCACTAGAAAACAAAATTGTTTCTGAAACAACTATCAGTCATCTTCATGGTTTGCCTTTCCACCATTAGAATGTTCATTCACTATTGATCAAAAAAAAACCTTTCCTGTTCACTTTTTAACACTAATGCTCTTATGATTCACTCCTTAGAGCCATTCAGCGCTGATGTCTGGGTGATGATGTTTGTCATGCTTCTCATTGTGTCTGCTGTGGCTGTATTCATATTTGAATATTTTAGCCCAGTTGGGTACAACAGGTGCCTTGCAGATGGAAGAGGTGAGATTACAATTTTTTATATACTACTTTGCCAAACATCTATCTGCCTCAATAAAATATGTCTTCACTTTCAAAAAGTAAAATTCAGAGTACATATTTGACTTAAATTCCGTAGAAGATTTAATAAAAACATGTTTTTTTTTTACAATTATGGTTTTGCTATCATGGTTTTTTTATTATGGCTAAAAGAAACTTGTGATCTTTGCATGATATTAAGTAATTGTTTTTTGCCCAACAGAGCCTGGTGGCCCATCATTCACTATTGGGAAAGCCATTTGGCTTCTCTGGGGCCTGGTATTCAATAACTCTGTGCCTGTGCAGAACCCAAAAGGAACCACAAGTAAGATTATGGTATCGGTTTGGGCCTTCTTCGCTGTGATCTTCTTGGCAAGTTACACAGCCAACCTTGCTGCCTTTATGATCCAAGAAGAATATGTGGACCAGGTGTCTGGTCTCAGTGATAAAAAGGTAAGGATGAAAACAAAGTGGTTTTATATTTACCAAGGATGTGAGATTTGTTTTCTTTTTTTTCTAGGTAAAGAAGTATTTTGTATAACAAACTATCATACCAAATACATGTGTGGCATGAATTGTCCGAAAAATACTTGCTGATGACTTAAAATGAAATCTTATGCACAAAATACATTTTATAGATGGGAGAATTTGCTTATTGTTGGCAAAGATGCCTGGCTCTGCTTGCCCCAAACGTCTTATATTAAAGTTGAGAGATTCCCAAATGGCAGATATATTAACCGCACCTGATTCTATTGTAGCCCAATTCGAACGTTATTATAATCAGCTTTATACTACACAATCCCCATATTTAATTGAGATTGATAAGTTGCTTGCTAAAGTGGGTCTAACTAAACTGACAAATGAGCAAAGGAAGTACTTGAATGCTCCAATATTCATCGAAGAGGTCCCGGCAGCAATTAACTCCAATAACAAAACTCCAAGACCAGATGGGTTTCCCGTGTAATTTTATAAAATATTGTTATAGGAGATTACTCCTTTACTTGCAGAAGTCTATAATAAGATCGTGAGTGATAATACCCCCTTTTCCAGATTTTAATAAAACATTTACTACTGCTTTTGGAAATGTTTCAGGATATCCTATAAATCTGGAAAAATCAAAAGCTTTATATCTGGCAAGGAGTCCTAGGCTCAGGTGAAGCTCACTACATCCTTTTATATGGTGTAAAGCAGGGCTCAAAATTTCCACTCGCCCCCTCGCAATTGGCGAGTGAAAATTGCGTGGGGGCGAGTGGAAATCCAGGGGGGGGACTTCCGCCGCTTCGGCAGCGCCGATCGCTGTCTGTTTCCTCCACCCGCTTCTTGGAGCGGCACCGCAGCCTCCGCCGGC